TTTCTTCTGCTGTTCTTGTATTGCTGCCATCAAATCTGCTAAGTCGTAGTTTCATTTGCCACTTCTCGTTTCCATTTTTTTTTCTTTTCCGTCCCACTCTCTGACACCAATTTGTTACGTCTCTGGTCATTTGTTAATTTTCCGTAGAAATTCTTTCCGAAGAACTTCAGCGATACAAGTCCTTTCTTAAATAAAACTAGTTTATTCTTTCTCAATTCAACTTTGCAGTACACTTAATTTCCACAATCACTTTAACTTAAACACATGCTAGAATTCACAACGATTCACACACTTTACTTACGGTCACTACCCTTTTCAGTGAATCAAGTATTACAATATGATGGTAGGTTTGTGTTCAGTAAGTCAGGTATTACAATATGATGGTAGATTTGTGTTCAGTAAGTCAGGTATTACAATATGATGGTAGATTTGTGTTCAGTAAATCAGGTATTACAGTATGATAAGAGATTCATGTTCAGTAAATCAGGTATTAGGGTATGATGGTAGATTTGGGTTCAGTAAGTCATGATGAGAAATTTATGATCAGTAATTCAGGTATTATAGTATTATGAGAGATTTGTGTTTAGTAAATCAGGTATAGTATTGTGACGACAGCGGAAGTCACGTGACAATGGTAACATGTAATGAGTATCTAGAAAGATCGAGGAACCTTTGAAACGTCCTAGTGTTTGCAAGACTTGTGCTCTTATAGTATATGAGCCGGCAAATAAAGTGACAGCAACAATTGAATTGCAGGCAGAGATGGAGACAGACAATTGAGTCAAGAGTCAATCATACTATAATATCTGATCTACTGAACACAAATATTTCATCATACTGTAGTACCAGATTCAATGAACACAATTTCCTCATCACAATGTAATGTTAAGAATTGTCTTAAAACCTTTTTCTCTGACTATGGATGAAGAATTGTTGGTAGTTGGTAAAATATCCACGAATAAAAATCAACATAATTAAAAACAGGCATACATTTAACAAATGTAGAACTGAAAAGTTACTCAAACAAAAAACAGAAAAATTTACACACTATAAAACAGATCTTTGTTGCAACTCAAACATCTTGGGCAAAATACAACAGTATGTTAAAACATAGAGTCATATAAATGTTAATATTCTTTACAGAAAAATTTTATTTGATAACTTATTCTTGTTTTTAAATGCACTAGTGAAATTCTTTTGGGGTGAAACTTACATACACATCATGGTAACAAGTCCAGCAAGAACTGCAGGATAGTAAGGCTGTTCCCATATCATTAATGAATGTAATGGTGTAAGTATTTCTCTCCAACATTCAAGTTTTTGTTTCACATCTTTCACTTTATCATCTCCACCCAAGAGATCCTATAAAATATATTTATTCTTTATATTTTTAGTGGACAAACAACAACTATTTGCAAATAAAATTACAATATATATTTCACTCAAAATAATGAATTTTTAAAACTTTTCAGGCTCAATGAATACATGGTTTGGCACTTCCGTTTGTAACAGACATTAGTTTGAAAAAAGAAAAAAAAAAAGAGAGAGAAACAAAAAAATGTGAAGTAAGCAGTAATTAGTAACAGTAACGAAAAGCAATCAATTGATTTTATTTCCAAGGGATAAGAAGGAAGAATAATTAAGAACATGAAAAAAAGACTCTACAAAAAAATACTGCATGTGGCAGTAGGGGTGTCATGCAAATCAAGGAGAGTAGGTTAGGGTGACACATCTTACAATAATTTGGGAACCACTGCTATAGGGTGACCAACTCTAATAGAAACACAATACTGTCTTAGAGTTGCATCTAAGTTTTCCTTATTCTATATGTGTGTCCTCTAATCATAATGCCTGCAGAGTTCAAGAAAACATCATATGGATTTGTGGATTCTAATTCCCTAACAATCTTAAAAAAAATTGTTTCTAAAACATGTCAAGAGATATCAATCTCTCCCAATATAATAACCCCTCGAAATTGAATCATCTCAACCTCTTCCAATATGATACCTGAAAACGTAGAACCATCTCAACCTCTCCCAATATGATAACACTTCGAAAATTGAATCATCTCAACCTCTTCTAATATGATACCTGAAAACGTAGAACCATCTCAACCTCTCCCAATATGATAATTTTCAGGTATCATATTAGAAGAGGTTGAGATGATTCAATTTTCGAAGTGTGTAGAACCATCTCAACCTCTCCCAATATGATAACCCCTCAAAACTTGGACCATCTCAACCTCTCCCAAAACGACAGCACCTCAGAACTTGAATCATCTCAACCTCTCCCAAAATGACAACACCTTTAAACTTAAGAATAATCCTGGTAGCTCTTCTCCAAACCCTCTCTAACTCAAAATCCTTTCTTAAGTAAGTTGGCTAAGCACATTATTTCAAAGAAAGTTTAAATAAACTAAAGTTAGTGGGTCTGGAAATGTGTGTAAACACTATCTTTTGTCTTTGTACATGTATGTTTTTAATTTTCCTCATTTTAAGACTTAGAATTGAGTTTGTTCTTTCATGATTTATTAAAATAAAAACATTATATTTTTCCAGGTCAACAATTAAATACAAAACTTTTTAGTTTAGAATGTGTGTGTGTGTGTGTGTGTGTGTTTTATTATCATTTCACAGTTCTGATGAATTACATAATGTATGTCACATCTTCTCCTAACATCAACTCATGATGTGTTGAACAAGATATTGTTACGACAGCGGAAGTCACGTGATGCTAGGAGCATGCTCGCTGGAGTGTCTAGAAGGATCATAACTTATTGAGGAACTTCAGGAATATTCCAGTATTTGCTAGATGCCCTCTTCTTTAGTATATAAGCCAGCGATAGAAAGATATGCAGACAGATTGAAGAAAAGATAATGGAGTCAAGTGAGCAGTAGGCATCGTAAGTAAAGTGTATGAATCGTTGTGATTTATAGTGTGTTATAA